GACTAATTTTACAGCAGAATATACTAAAGTATATCCACGTCTAGTGAAGGGGAGGAACAGTGGCGGATCTAGACCAAATGTACCAGGGGGCCAGGAGGGGGCCAGCGTGTTTTCATGGGGGCCCAGAAAAGCAGGAAATAAAAAACAGGACAAGGGATTTAAATATATTAAGAGAGCTGCATGAAGGGAAATTTATTTATAATTAGGTTCAATAAAAATTATATTTCCTATGAGGTCAATATACATTTATAATTTAGGAATTTTACATATTTTTGACTTAATTTAGGTTAAAACTACTGTTTTCTATCAAATTTGAATTAGAACTCAAGAGAAAAACTGTTAAATTCATCTGTAAAAATTAGAGTATTTTTTTTATTCATTGTGAAAAAAAAAAACATTTATCAGGGATCTTATCTCAGCACCACTGAAGCTATCACCTTATTGTTTTTGAATAATTAGTAAAACAGAATTTATAGAAAAAGAATGGAATAGATCCAAAGGACCCATGTCTGTTCCAGTGCAGATCATCATTAGAATTTCTGGCCCCCGTTGGCCCCTGTCTAGAACCGGCCATGGTGAGGAATGATGTCACCGTGGCGAGGTGCACTGAATGCTGGAGTCCATGAAAAACAGAAAGCACAACCGATGTTCAAGGCTACAGGATTGAAAGTATTGAAAATAAAAGACCAATACTGTTCTGCTTAGTGTTTAAGAAACTACTGTTAGTTAATAAACAGTTGATGAGATACATACATACGTATATATGTATGTATGTATATATATATATATAGAGCGAGATCCACTTAATAAAGAATTCCTACATTAACATTTCACAGTGAATGACTTTCTATTTCCTCTACTTTCTATTTTCTAACGTTAGACCCAATGTCAGCGTCTAACTCAGTCAATGTCTTCCAGTCAGTCTGAGATAGCCAGACTAATGTTAGTCTGCAGACTAAACTATAGGATCCATCGGCTATAGATGGATTTATTGCTTAGTTCATCCACTGACTGGGAATTTACCAGTGGAACGTCTTCCTGCAGACAGAAAACTGCTGGTTTTAGCAGCTAAATGCTGCACAAAAGGTCAAACTATCAAACTCAAACTATATGAAAAGAAAATATGTTTTGGAAAATATATTTTGTTTCACTATAATTTAAACAAAGGACAGATTATTTTTATGCTGAGAATTTATTTTTAATTCATGTTTACATATAATGAAAACTAAATATTCATGCTTTGATTTGCTGCTAAATCCTGAAAGATCAGGGAGAAAAACAAAGATCATTTATTTAACTGCAGGATTTTCCTGTTATATTTGAAATATCCAGTGGGAGAGATATGTTTGCTTCTTCTTGTGGGCCCCCCCCCTACCTCAGTCAAGGGCCGTTAGAATCTTCCTA